TTTGGAAGGTTTCCAATAATCCAGGTAAGAAATGATGTTGGCTTGGACCAGGATGGTCAAGATTATAAAGTGGTTAATCCGTTATTGCGTTCTGGATAGAGTTCTCTGTAGTATTGATAGATGTATTGGAAATGGACGATAAGGGTGGGAAAAAAAGGATTCAAAGATGATGCCAAGATTTCGACATGAGCCACTGAAAGAATGCATCTGCTGCTTCTTAAGATAGGCAGGCTACGGGAGAAGGGGTTTTGGGGATGAGGCTGGGGATGAGTTTGGTTTGGGATACCAAATGCGGCAGGAGTCTGTTACACAGCCAAGCGGAGAAGTCAAGTGTACACCTTGATACATGAATTAGGAGTTCAGGGGAGAAGACTGGGATGGTTGCTGGGGCACTCCAATCTTTAGAAGTCAATGATGTGAGAATGAACCAGCTAAAAAGAAGAAAAAGTAGAAGCTGTTATGCAGGGGGAAAACCAAAAGAGAGAGTGGCGTCCTAGAGGCCAAGTGAAGAGAGTGTTTCAAGAGGGAGGAGCATGATCAACTGTCAAATGTTGGTGATAAACTAAGCAAGACAGCGCTGAAAACTGACCATGGGGTGTAGCAAACTGGAGGTCACTGGTAACCACACCAGTGTTATTCCCTCAGAGCACTAACCTGAATGAACCCCTTCCTCCTACTCCCTCTCGCAACACCATGCTATTGCTCCAGGCCACGTCTCACAATGTGTTGTGTGTCCATCTTTTCTCCTCAATGTCCCTGCCCATTAATTATATGCCCCAAGAGGGAAGGAACAGTCTCCCTTTATTTATCATTCAGTGCCAAACCCTGCTGAACACAGACTAGGCAAACAAAAAAAACATCATGAAAGAATGAAGAAAATGGGTATATGCCCAGGAGCAGGATTCCTGGGTCATATGGTGAGTCTATTCGTAGTCTTTTGAGGAATCTCCACACTGTTTCCCACAGTGGCTGCACCAAACTGCATTCCCACCAGCAGTGTAGGAGGGTCCCCTTTTCCCCACAGCCTCTCCAGCATTTGTCATTTGTGGATTTTTGAATGATGGCCATTCTGACTGGTGTGAGGTGATACCTCATTGTAGTTTTGATTTGCATTTCTCTGATAATTAGTGATATTGAGCATTTTTTCATGTGCCTTTTGATCATTTGTATGTCTTCCTTGGAGAATTGCTTGTTTAGGTCTTCTGCCCATTTTTGGATTGGGTTGTTTGTTTTTTTCTTATTAAGTCGTATGAGCTGCTTATATATTCTGGAGATCAAGCCTTTGTCAGTTTCATTTGCAAAAATTTTCTCCCATTCCGTAGGTTGTCTTCTTGTTTTACTTCTGGTTTCCTTTGCTGTGCAGAAGCTTGTAAGTTTCATTAGGTCCCAGAAGGAACCCTACTTCAAAATGACACCTGCAGCCCAATGTTCATAGCAGCACTATTTACAATAATCAAGACATGGAACCAGCCTAAATGTCCATCAACAGATGACTGGATAAATAAGACGTGGTATATTTATACAATGGAATACTATTCAGCCATAAAAACTGACAACACAACGCCATTTGCGGCAACATGGATGTTCCTGGAGAATGTCATTCTAAGTGAAGTAAGCCAGAAAGAGAAAGAAAAATACCATGTGAGATTGCTCATATGTGGAACCTAAAAAAAACAAAAACAAACAAAACATACAAAACATAAATACAAAACAGAAACAGACTCATAGACATAGAATACAAACTTGTGGTTGCCAAGGGGGCGGGGGGTGGGAAAGGATAGACTGGGATTTCAAAATGTAGAATAGATAAATAAGATTATACTGTATAGCACAGGGAAATACACACAAAATCTTATGGTAGCTCACAGAGAAAAAAATGTGACAATGAACATATATTTGTTCATGTAAAATTGAAAAATTGGGCTCTACACTGGAATTTGACACAACATTGTAAAATGATTATAAATCAATAAAAAATGTTAAAAAAAAAAAAGAAAAAGAAATTAAAAAAAGAATGAAGAAAATGAGCAGACCAATGACAAACTTTTTTGTCAAGTCTTGCCCATGTCACTGTTCTGTAAATCCTAGGAACCCAACCCTGCTGTCATGAACTAGCTCCTTGTGCTTGGGAAAAACTCACTTCTCCCCTCTGGATTTCAGTTTCTTTATCTTTTAGCAAAGTGTGGGAATGAGTGGTGGGTGCCATACCTATTGGCCCACCGTCCTCTGCCAGGTCTGAGTGGAGCCCCCTGATCTCCAAGCCGTGGTGTCATTTCAGTCATCCCCTCTCCAAAAATGTCTCCCACTGGCTAAAACCTATCACTGGATTTTTAACACTTCTGAGTTTAGTTTTATCTCTGCTAGATACCTGAATGAAAAAGCAGCTAGCATCAGCCAGTTTTGCCAGAGTGTGTGTACACTTCTCTGGTCCTTTCCTGGTGACAGTCTTAGACAAGACCTTGTTGAGGAAGAATGAGAACAGTATGTGCTCAGAAGGAGAACTGCTGCCGAGGCAGGAAAGGGTTCCCGCAGGAGCCCAGTCGGGCTACAGATGAACTACTTGAACATCTGCGAGAGGCAGGTCTTACTTTATGGAACTGAATAGGAAAGTTTCAATAAAGGTTAGCTTGTGCCTCGAAACACCTTCAAGTCCTAACTAAAAACCCAGTGATGTTGACTAACTTATTCCTCCAACCCAGGGTTTGGTGTCAGTGATACGAATAGGGGAGTTGTAATACTACTCAGCCTTAAAAAGAAATGAAAGCGGGCCATTTGCAGCCACACGGATGGACCTAGAGGTGATCACGCTAAGTGAAATAAGCCAGACAAATATCATATGACATCACTTAAATGTGGAATCTAAAAATAGTGACGCAAATGAACTTATTTACAAAACAGAAACAGACTCATGGGCATAGAAAACAAACTATGGTTACCAAAGGGGAAATGGTGAGTGTGGGAGGGATAAATTAGGAGTCTGGGATTAACAGATACACACTACTATATATAAACTAGATAAACAACAAGGTCTTACTGTATATACAAGGAACTATATTCACTAGTTTGTAATAACTTAGAATGAAAATGAATATGAAAAAGTATATATATATATAGATATAATGTATATATATAACTGAATCACTATGCTGTACACCAGAAACTAACAAAACAATGTAAATCGACTATATTTCACTTTAAATAATTTTTTTAATTTTTAAAAAAAATAGGGGAGTTGGACTTGATTATCTAAAAATGCCCTACTGCCTTTAAAGGCAGGGCTTCTCTGATGAGGTTGGGCAAGGAAGACAGTCCATTTCAGCCTTATAATGAGGAATCAAACAAAGGATCCCACATTTGCAAATATGTGATTGGTCACATCAGCCCCCACACACCTTAACACAGCAAAAAACAAAGTAATTTCTTAAACGTATTCACATTCTTGCCTGCACCTGGCCACGCCCTCTAAGTGTGGTCATATGCACCGTACATGTCAAAGGTCACAGAGTCCACTCTTAGCACTGCCTTTGACTGAGACTCTGTGTGTAGAATCAGGGTAGGTTGAGTCCGCACGGTGCTGACCTCCCTTCTGGGACCCTGCTAGCACCAACAATGAGAACTGGGCTTTGGGCAATTTTTCCAACAGTGGACTGGTTTCTACTGGACCATGCTTACGTACATGTACAATATCAATGGCAAGATATTCATGAGTCCGTGGCTAGAACAGAGCCTAGGACCTCACCCCAAATCTGTATTTGGTGGAGGCTGAATATAAACACATACCTAAACAAGCAAGCAAACAACATTTATGGCCACGAAAGAGAGTGAAATCAACAGGACATCAACAGCATCCAGCCTGTAACTTTGGCATCGTCAGTACCGCCCCAAGGACAGGAGAAACGATGTTTTTGGATAACCAGGGTGAGATAAGAAATTTGAGAATGACCATCTGCTGCTGTCAGGTCTACCTTAAGTAAGGGAGCGGGAGCCTGGCACCCGGCACTCGTGGTTGTGTTTTGCGTGGTGTGAGCGTGCGCTCCTGCGCGTGTGTCCGGAGCCCTTGTGGGTGGTACACTTAATACGGCGCTTTTCTGTGCAGGAAAACTCGATCCCCTCCAAATCCCTGAATTATTAAAATCTTGAAGTTTCTCACATCTGTTCCAAGCCTCGTATCACCGTTTCTGAACGCTATCGGGTGCCATATTCTGTGTCTGAGGTTACAGGCATGCCCACACCCTTCCATTGCCAAGCCGGGAGATCATTTGTTATGACTGCAGCCAAAAAACCCGGGGAGCAGGCTTCTGAGAGGAGCCAGCACGCAGCAGGGCAGTGAGCTGGCCGGGCTGCTGGGTGGTCTCAACACTCAGTTGTCAAATCTATTGCCTGTGTGTAACCAGAGCCTTTCAGAGACAAACCCACCCGAGGTGCTTTAGCCGGGGTGAGATTCCTTAATAACCTGCATTCTAAGTTCCTCTCGCTCAGACCACCACCATTTCAATGGAAACTGAGTTAGGTCCAAATAGGATGAACCAATCTTCTGTGTAAGCAAAAAAGTTGGCCCAGGGCTGCATAGCTTTAAATGGACCATGAATAATGTTTTATTGCCTCAGCACCGGGTGAACTCGGCCCCCTTTGCTTAGCCTCACCTTTCACAGTGTTATTTTTAGAGATCTCATTACACCCCAGCTTAAACTAAAAATACGTTTCCCGGGAATAGCAGAACCCAGTTTTAATTGTGCAGAGTGACACCAGGGCTCGGGGACTCTGATTACATATGATGTTTCATGCACTTGATAGCTCCTTGAGGATCAAGGAGAGAATTGCTAAATTTCATTTTTCCAGAGCAGCAACAAGACTGGCTGTTGCACTCAAAATTAGCTTGTTCTGGGCTGGTGTTGTTTCCACCAGCTGATGCTTTGGTTTCATGAAATTTGCTGTGAATTACAAAGAATCACCGGTCCCAGGAAGCCCTGATCCCATGAGAAGTTCACCTGCCAGTTCTCATCCAGCCCTGACACATCCTTCCCTCCCCACCCTTCCAGTGCTTGGAAGGAAAGATCACGTAGTAGAAGACCTCTGGAAGCTGACAGATTGGCAGCTGGTTCTTTACTCCGTCCCTCTACCTCGGCGACTTCAGGCAAGTCATTCATCTTCCTGAGTCTGATCCTTCACTGGAAAATGAGAGTAATAGAAGTTGTATGGGAAAATGAAATAATTTATGTACAAAGCAGAAGCCTAATAAATGATCACATTTTTTAACTTGCTTATATACTAGTCAAATCAGCAGGGACGTTTGTTGAGCCCTGACTAGGGCCACACAGGGGACATGCGATGTGTCAATGTCAGACCCAGACAAAGATGCACATCGGGGCATAGGTGGCCTGGTGTAGGGCAGCATGGAATATCACCTTGGACTGGAAGTACCAGTCTGGACTCTGGGGCCACCAGCAAGGGAGCTCTTTATCCTGAGAAAAGAAAGTCCCCTGAACTCAACCTGGTCTTTAAAGGATTCTTCTCTCTACTGACCCGCTTAAGGGTTAAGGACATAGCTGTCCCAGACGGAAGTCCCGTTCTGCCTGTTTCTACCAGCGCGACCTTGGATAAGTACCCTGTGTTTTTATGTCAGTTTGTAAGTTGGGGATACGCTAACATCTGCTCCATAACACGCTTGTGAGAATTGGATGAGACAGTCAGTGTGATACACGTCTTCAGCACATTGTCACAAAGTAATCGCTCAAGAAATGTTGGCTCTTAAGGGGACTGAGAAAAGTATGTTCCTGAAAGAGGGAACAATTTGAACAAAGAGAGAAATGTGCAGAACAATTAAAGGAGTACCCTGTACCCTAGTTTGACTGAATCGTAGAGAATGTTAGGAGAGAAAGACTGGCTCTCACGTGTCCTCGCTGAGTTAGTCTTTGCATTCCATTGCGATGCTTTCTAGATTTTCATCAGCGTACATTCAATCTCTCCACCCAGTTAATACATCTTCTAAAGACAGAAAGTTCCCTTGTAACCACTCAGAGAGCCTTGCACCCTTCTGTTTTCAACGGCAATCCATTTCCAGTCCTGTTTTCCAACTACTCTGGTCTCAGCAGTGTTTCAGGATCACTGGACAGTACTTGACATTGTGGTGAACCTCACGGTTTTGTGACACGGGTGCAATCACTCAATCTGGTTAGAGGGAAAATCATGTTTGTAAAATTTCTCTCTGAAGTCCAGAGGCCCCCATCTCATTGGTGTAACCTCTCAAACCCCAATGCCCCACCTATAGAAGGTTTGTTCCTTGTTCACACCAGACCTGACAGCCACGTTCTACACCACGAGAGCAGGGCTGGAGTGGAAAGATATACCAAGCTACGGGAAGGCACGGGGACACAAGGTCTCCAAAATGGTCATCACTTTTTAAAAATGAGATCACTGTGAGCATTCTTTATAAATGACCCGCCACTGTAAAGTGCCCCCTGCTCCTCTCATTGTTTGGGGCCTTTCAGAGTGTACCCTGGTACCCAATACCAGGAACATTTTATGTGCTTTTTTTTTCCCCAGAGAGGTCTTGACGTAATTGTACAAAGAGGCCTGACTATTAGAGGAGGAAGACTAATTTTGCCCACCAGGGTGAATAAAGAACAGAATGAAAGAAGTAGGAACATCAGAGGACGTGGAGACCCACTAACCCCCCCCCAGGGTGTGAGTACTGTCACCTCATGTGTACCTCAGACTCCCTGACTGTTGCTCTCAGTCCACAGCTTTACTCTTTCTCCCAAGATCTAGAAGCACAGGACCTGTGACCAAAGCCAGCAACGCCACGCGGGGCTTGACCACCACTGGCGGGTCTCCTTCCGCCCCAGTCCGCCCCTCCCACGTTGGCTTCCAGCCCCTGGTTCTGCCCCTGGCCACTCACTGTGAGAGGCGGTGAACCAGGCCTCGGGGAAAGACTCCCCAAGTACCACATCACGCACCTACTTTGGGGTTCATCCGGGCAATTCATTGGCCCTCAAGCCCTGGCCTTCTGGGACGGCCCCGGGAGCATCTGAGAAGGATGGAGAGGGCCCAGTATAGCAGCCGGGCATCTCTGCCTGGAGGAGGCCTGCCTCCCGCGAGCAGCCTGGCTGGACAGCTGATCCTCGCTAATCCCGGCCCGGCAGCGCCAGCCTGGTTGCCTTTCGTATAGCTCTGACTTGCGTGTTGTTCTTTACATCGCCTGCTTTATTTTCAAACCTGTCAACAGGTCTCTGAAAAGGTTGCACACATGAGCAGAGGCCTGGGCAGCTCGGAAAAGGACAGAAGGAGCTGCCGGCAGGGACCGCTGCCCCAGACCTGGGAGACCGAGTCAGGAAACCAGGGGCTTCTCATTCTCTTGGTTTTTCTCTAATCCAAGCAAAAAACGAGGCCTACGTTTTGACACTGTGACCCTTTCTGGTAAGGTTAGGGAGCTGGCTGTAAATCCGAGGTGGACCACACACTTACTGAACTATATTTATCAAGTTTCTTAATAAAGCCAAAAGCTCAGAAGCTTCTGGGAGGAAACTTTTTTTTTTTTTCTGACAGAGACAGAAGCCAGCAACAATCAGTTTACTGTTGTTGTCCAGTTGCCAAGTGGGTGATTTAGCTAAAATAGGAGCTGCCTCACATCTGTTTACAGGAACACACAGGGTTGCTATTTGTAAAGGGGCCCGACTCGTCTGACCTCCAGTTGTTGCTAAACCTTTTTTTCCCCCAAGACTGTTCCAAGGAGCTAAAAGAAGACTCACAGCCCCTCCACCAAAGGGGACATTTGCTCACACGTCTTGCTTCCCCTGATACCATCACACTGTTGTGACAAATACCAGCTGGGCGGACCGAGGCTGTGTCTGAGACTGGATGTCCCGCCAGCTACTTTTTCTGAACAGACTCGTTGATTAGCCTAACAACTGAGTTCAAGATCATTAAAATCAGACTATTTGAGGTGACAGGGACCTTGGGGGATCTCAGAGTATAACTCCCGTATTTTCAGTTGAAGAAAGTGGGAACAGAAGAGTTTGTTGGAGGGAGCGAGGATGCCAAGGCAGAATTAGCAGAATCTTTCCAGTTTTTCAAACTCCCCTGGAAGCTCCCTGGCATCTTGAGATACAATCTAGTTCAGAAACTTCACATCTAACTGCATACGTGTGTAACGCAGTGTGGGAGAAGAAACTTGGGGTATCACCTATGGTAAGAGCAGCGTCCTGGGTCCTCTCAGCGCTAGGAAGTAGCATCTGGATTTTCCCATAAACCACGTGGAGAATTCAGTCTCTGATGGGCCCCATTGGAAAACTACAGGAGTAAGATACCAGGATAGTCAGGGAAGGATGAGTAATACAGTACTGTACAGGGGAAGGACCTTTCCTGGACATCTCGAAAGCATTCTTCAAACATTTGGGTGCAACAGGAAGTCAAATTGAAAGTTTTAGTTGAGGTATCAAGACATAAATACCAGATATAAACATATCCAAAAAGCCACTCGATAATAATTTCACATCTCTGTGGCTCCCTCTGGAGCAGGCTGCGCTACGAATATCACCCAACTCTCACAGGCTCTTCCGGGAAGCCTTAGAGAGATTGTCACACGTCCCCTCCTCATAATTAGGGGCATGATGGGGACTAGTGTCTTATTCTCAGCCACCAACCCTTAAAATGTCAGGGATGGCTGGTAAAGGAGAGGTGACAGCACTAGGCAGCGTGCTCCCTGGAGTTCGCACGCTAAGTACCCTGAGTTTCCAAGGAGTAGATGTGGGCCATGCGTGGGCACTGATGTTGGTGGAGGACCATCTGATTTCCAAGATCTGCTGAGGGGATCCGTGCACTGGAATGGAGAGCCTTAGCCAGTGAGAGGATCTGCAGGCCAAAGACCACCCGTGAGTGGACAAGAGCCACACACAACCCAGGGAGGACATCAGCCTTCAACTGTCCCCAGGCTTGCAGCGCTCAGAGCCAGCTGTCTTTGGTCTGGCTCCCTCGGAGCAGCACCGAGCTCGGGGGTTCTTGTGGTTTACGGAGAGAGCGCTCTCAGGGGACAGAGGTAAGGGAATCGGAGAGGACAGAGGGGGGCACAAAAGAAGGATGTGGTCTCTGTAAGTGGTTAGCTTCTGACTGGCCCCACAGTTCTGCTCTGTCCCATGGAAAGGGGGCCAGGCTTCTAACACCTTGTCAGCTGATCACTGGCTGCTGCTTGTGATGTAGGGGAAGGGGGGACACTTGGGGAGGTTGAGGCAAAACTGGGACATCATCCAGCAGAGGGGCCTCTGCCTGGTCGAGGATAAATTCTTCCAAAAGGGGGAAACTGGGCCATTAGTAGCCAATACTCACAGCATCTGGGGATGGGGCTCTGGGAGGAGAAACGGTGAGACTCACTCTGCCAGTGTCATGCCCGCCAACCTAGACAGTTTTGATTCTTCTTACATTTTTTCCATCCTCACAATTTCCAACCCCTGCCCTGGGAGTCAGAAGCAGCTAGTGAGTGAGAGATGGGTGAGGAAGACAGAGAGGAGCTGTCTTCTCTACAAACACCACCCACACCACCCACACCACACACATCACATACGCCACACACATATCACACACCACACACACTACACACACAGCACACAACGCACACACACACCACACATCACACATACACCACAGACATCTCTTACACACACACGCACACACCACACACACACTTCCTTTCCAAAAGGCCCACCTGTGACAGGACCTAGTTAGAGTTGAAGGAGAAGTCGTAACTGAGTGAAACTGCAAGTTTTGATTATTGCATAGGACTGAACAGTTTTAAATGTGTCTTTGCAATCTGACGTCCATATAGAAAAGGGCACCAATCACACGCCTAGAGCTCACTGAATCTGCACAGAACACAGCTGTGTAACAATCCTCACGATCAAGAAACAAAAGCAGCAGCTACCCAGAGCTTCCTTTCTAGTCTCTTCCTTCAATTTCCATGACGAGGGTAATACTCCAGCGATTTTCCAGCTTCATAGATTAGTTTTTGCCATGAATCCTGGGATCTTGACTTATCTGAGCCTGAGTTTATAACAAAGATTACCAATCTCAAACTGATCTCAAAAATCCGACTTCAGCTCCTATTATGATAGGGCTAAGGAGGGTGGTTTTTCAAAATAAAAATAGGCAAGAACCAGATTTTTATCGACTCTATTGTTGTGGGGAAGAGGAAAAAGAAAAAAAGAGGATTTTTATCCCATGTTTCTTCCCACCCCACCTCCACCTGCCCTCCCAGCTTCCCAAGGGAATACAAACAAAACAATTTCATTCGTCCACTCAAGACAGCCACCCCCACCGGCCTGGGACCGAGGACAGCCATTCAGGGTGTGTGTATGCCCCTGTTTGTAAGAAGCAGAGCACACAAGTCATTGCTGGATGACGTGGGTCTTGAGATCTTGGTCCCTGGATGGGTCTCTGGAAAACAAACTGAGATTTTGTTGTTTCTTCCCACATTTTTGTCTGCTCAGTTGCTTTCCTGAGAGAGAGGGGGGTGTTAGGAAGTCAAGTCACTGTGGAAGGGCCTTGTTCAGGGAAATTTTCACCCAACATGTCATTTTCTAACTGGGGCTCTTTGCTGTGGTCCTTTTGCCTGGCTGTCTGCATTGAGTGACGGTTATCTTTATAAACAGAGGAGCAGCATTTCCACTGAAATCTCCTCCTGTGGCTGAAAACTCATCCTAACGACCTAAGGGCGCCTCAAAGGGAAGGGATTTTTTTTCCCTGAAAAAAGTGCTCAGGCAATGACCTTAGCTGACATCGCTGAATGACAAAATGTAGTTATTATTCAGTTTTTTAACATGATATTAAAAGGCAGGAGAAGAGGTGAAGCCATGTAGTGTTTGCCTGCATGCTGTGAATATACCTGTAGATTTCACCTGAGACCTTTATTTTTTAAATTGTGCCAGTATGGGATGGCCATGTGGCCCGACCAAAATTACCCAAATGTTTTCTTTAAGGGAGACTACTGTTCATGCAAACCTAATATGAGTGCTAGACAAGTTAAGAAGAATGAATTAAACAAGAGAAGGCTTGAGATTCTTGCTTTCATGATATGGACAAGTGGCTGAAAGAGTGATGACTGGGGGAGGGAGTGGTTAATCACACTTAGCTCAAGTCAAAGTGAAGGATCCCACAGCCCTTGGGGTTCTCCTTACCGTGCAGGTCCCACTCGGGGCGGGGGGGGGGCATCTGGGAGAAGGTGAGTTTGTGTTTCAAGGCACTGCCGCTGCCTTCCGTTCATTAAAGATCCCACCACATCCCGTGTGGAGGAAAGAGACACATCTCCGACCTCTCATGCCTTGGGGACATTCCCAGAAGTCACAGACCCTTGAGAAGCTACTCTTCTTTTTTTTATTATTGAAGTATGGTCAGTTACAATGTTGTGTCATTTTCTGGTGTACCGCGTAACGTTTCAGCCATCCGTAGACCTACATACAATCCTTTTTGGCCCCTCTCGCTCCTAGCTCCAGACTACTCTGCTTGGTTGTGATATAGTTTAATAATTTAACGACGGTTGAAGCTGCTATAATTACACACCCACCTAAGACTCTTCCACTTCATGCTGGGACACCCCCCACCCATCGCTGAAATGAGGACTACTTTCTAAATTCTTGAGAAAACACCAGCTCCTAGCATAGCATCCCACGGGAGATGTATGATTGACAGGTGATCGCAGAAACATTGGGTTAGAAGAAACCTGTCTACGGCCAGACCACCCTGAATGCATCCAATCTCGGAAGCTAAGCAGGGTCAGGCCTGGTTAGGACTTGGATGGGAGAAGAAATCCCAGAGGTCCATTCATTCAACCATTTAACAATATTTATTGAGGGCCCACAATGTGCCAGTCACTCTTCTAGGCTCTCGGGTTACAGCAGGGAACAAGAGAAAATATTCCTGTCCTCTTGATGCACAGGGTATATTAGGTAAGAGTAAATCTATAAATAAATGTCTTAGCTCAGGCTGCCATAACCAAATACCACAGACAATAGACAATTATTTCTCACAGTTCTGGAGGCTGGAAGTCCAAGATCAAAGTG